TCTTTGAGCAGTGTTTTGCAGTTTTCATTGTAAAGGTCTTTCACTTCTCTAGTTAGGAAGTGTGGTGTTTTTTGTTTGTTTGTTTGTGGCTATTATGAATGGGATTGTGCTTTCTATTTAGTTTCTGACTGCTTGTTGTTGGTGTATAAGAATGTGACTGACTTTTGTACATTTATTTTGTACTCCTAGACTTTACCAAAGTCCTTTATCAGTGAAAGCAGGTTTTTGACAGATTCTCTTGGGTTTTCTAGGTATAGGATCATATCATCAGCAAAGAGGAATAACCTAACTTCCTCTTTTCCTATTTACCTACCCCTGATTTCTTTATCTTGTCTAATTGCTCTAGCTAGGACTTTCAACACAATGTTGAACAGGAGGCTGGAGAGTGGGCAGCCTTGACTTGTTTGGTTTTCATGGGAGATATTTTCAGATTCTGCCCTTTTAGCAATATGCTGGCTGTGGGGTTATTGTAGCTAGTGCTTACTGTTTTGAGGTATGTTCCTTCTATGCCTAGATGTTTAAGGGTTTTTATGAAGAAGTGATGCTGGATTTTATCAAAAGCTTTTTCATCGTCTAATGATATCATCATTTGGTTCTTGTTTTTACATCTGTTGATGTATGTAATTACATTTATGGTCTTGTGGATGTTGAACCAGTTCTGCTTCTGGGGATGAAGCCTACTTGGTCATGTTGGATGATTTTTGAGATTTGCTAGAATCTTATTGAGAATTTCTGCATCTGTGATCATTAGAGATATTGACCTACAGTTCTCTTTTTTTGTTGGATCTTTACCCAGTTTGGGTATCAGTGTAACATTGGATTTGTAAAATAATTTGGGGAGAATTGCCTGGAATACTTTCAGTAAGATTAGTATCAGTTCCTCCTTGTACGTTTTGTAGAATTCTGCTGGAAAGCTGTCTGGTCCAGGGCTGTTTTTTGTAAGTAGTTTTCTTATGATGGAGGCAATTTCCTGGATTGTTATTCATCTGTTTAGTGTCTCGGTGTCTCCTTGTTTCAACCTTGGGAGATCATGTGACGTCAGCAAGTCCTCCATTTCGTTTAGGTTATCAAGTTCGCTTCCATACAGGAGTGCATAGTAGTCTCTGATAATCTTTTGTTTTTCTTCAGCTCAGTTGTGATTTGATCTTTTGCATTTCTGACTGTGTTTATTTGGGCTTTTTTTCTCTCTTTTTCTTGGTCATTCTGGCTAGGGGTCCATCAATCTTGTTTATTCTTTCAAAGAACCAGCTTTTTGTTTTGTTGGGTTTTTTCCTATGATATTTTTGTCGTCTGGGTCCCATATTTGGGCTTTTACTTTGGTGATCTGGATTCTTCTACTAAAGTTAGGGTTTTGTTTCTCTTATCTTCCCAGCTCCCTAAGGTGATTTGTGAGGCTGTTAATAAGTGCTCTTTCCATTTTCTTGATGTGTGGTTATAGAGATATAAATTACCCTTTTTGAACTGCTTTCATGGCATCCCAGAGGTTTTGGTAAGATGTTTCTTTGTTTTCATGTTTCCAGGAATCTTTTAATTTCCATTGTGATTTCTGTGTTAACCCAGTAGTTGTTCAGCATCAAGCTATTTAATGTCCATGTCTTTGTGAGTTTGGGGGGAATTTTGTTGGTGTTGATATTTATTTTTGTTCCACTGTGGTCTGAAAAGGTACATGGCAGTATTTCGATCTTATGAAATTTGTGTATGCTTGATTTATGGCCACGGATGTGATCGATCTTGGAGTACATTCATGTGATGATGAGTAGAATTATATTCTGTGGTTGTTGGGTGCAGTATTCTGTAGGTATCTATTATGTACATCTGGTAGAGGGTCAAGTTGAGATTCTGGATCTCTTTGTTGATTTTTTGCCTCGATGATCTATCTTGGGTTGTTAGTGGGATATTTAAGTCCCCAGCTATAATAATATTAGAGTCAATATCTTTTTTTAGTTTATTTAGTAGTTACTTTATGAGCACTGTGTTGGGTGCATTGCCTGTGCTTTTGTGATGGGTGGAGCTGTTCTTTCATTTCTGTGCTTATAACTTTCCTAAGTACCTGCTGAAGGGCTAGTCTGGAGGTGACATATTCTCTTAGAGATTGGCTATCTAGGAAGGATTTTAATTCTCTTTCATTAATGAAGCTTAACTTGTTGGGATAGGAAATTCTTAGCTAGAATTGCTTTTTCTTTAAGAACATTAAAGGTAGGACTCCAGTCCCTTCTGACTTGTAGGGTTTCTGCTGAGAAGTCTGCTATAATTCTAATGGGTTTTCCCCAGACGTGGTCTGTCCCTTCTCGGGCTGCCTTTAAGATTTTTTCTTTCATTCTCACCTTGGGGAGACAGTTGTGTGTCTTGGTGATTGTCTTCTCATGTAATAGCTTGCAAGAGTTCTCTGACTCTTTTGTGTCTACATGTCTGGCTCTCTAGCAAGATAGGGGAAATTTTCTTAGAGGGCTTGTTCTAGGGTGTTCTCAGTTTCCCTTTCTCTCTCAGGGATGCCAGTCAGCCATAGATTTGGTCGCTTAATCTCTCATACTTTGTTTATTTTCTTGTTTTTGTCTGCCTGGATTGAGTTTCGTAGTTTGATCCTCAACCTCTGAGATTCTCTTCTCTGCCTAGTTGATTCTACTGCTCAGGCTTGTCATTGTGCTTTGGAATTCCGGAAAAGAATCCTTTATTTCCAGGAGTTCGTATTGGGCCTTTCTTATATTGGCCAGCTCAGCTTTTATTTCCTATACAGTTTTCAATGTCTGGGTGATCTCTGGTTCCACCTTCTCATGGCTTTCCTTGACTATCTTTGCCATCCATAGTCTGAATTCTATGTCTGCCATCAGGGACTGGTCATTCTGGATGGGTCCCATTGCCTGGGATCTGGGAAGTCCTTTTATGGGTGATGACTTACTAAGGCTTTGGAGGTTGCTGGTGGTTTTTCGCTGGGTCTTCCTCATGTGTAAGGATAGACTCTTTTTATTTTTTTGTTTTGTTGTTTTTAGTTAGATAAAGTTGCTACTGTTGGAGCAGTCTTTTTGGGGATTTATTTATTTATTTCATCCCACAGAATGCTCCCCTGTTGTGTTGCACTCCTCCTTCCCCTGGGAGTGGTTGTCCATGAAGGCATGATCAGTGTGGGCACTGCTGCTCTTCTGAGTCTAGCTACCTTGTGAAATTGCCACCATTTGACTGGTTCTGGAGGGTGTCTGTAAGTATCCCAAGATGTAAAGGCACAGGGGTTGAATTCTAAGGGGTGCTGGTCATCGGTGTCTCTGGAGGACACTCTGAGGAAGATCTCTGGTGCCTCAGTCTCTGGACTAGTCTGCAAGATATACAGTGTCATGCACTTTGTTCTTATCTCCTTTTCAAGGGCTATATTGTTATCTTAGATATTGTTATGGACTGTGCCAGTTGACCAACAACTAGGAGGTGGTGCTTGGGTAGACAGTCACCTGTGATGGTAGCTATGGATTTTTTGTTTCATCTTTGTTTCCCCAATGACCTAAGCAATGGGTGGGGCTATGGGAACTCCCCAAAATCCTCAGTCCCCGGGCTTTTAAGGGAGGTGGGAGGGGGCAAAGTCAGGGAGGGATAGGTCAGACCGTACTGCCTCTTCCCATCTCCCCACCTACAGGCACAATTGTCTACCCCAGTGGGAAATGGATCCCCTGGCCACTGTGGCCACACTATGGGGATGTCTGAGCCTCTTCTCTTGTAGAAGGGAGTTCACACAGACACAAAGGGGTTGCCAGGATGACAGCACCCTCCTCCCCACAAAATGCTTTGACTCCCCTTTGCTTATCTGAGGCTGTCAGTGCTCAGAACTCAAAGTTTCTTTCTGTAGCAACATTTTCCCCACTGACTAGAACTGGCTAGTGCATTCTGATCCCTAGCTGTTAGCACTCCATGGGAATCAGGAGGGTATATTTGTCCCTTGGCCACTGTGGCAGCGCTGTAGGAATGGCAGAGCCATTTGTTGCCCAGAAGCATTTATGTTGGGAGAGAAGGGTTACCAGGATAATAGGGCTCCTCCTGGCTTCCCTTCTCTTGCTAGAGCCTGGCCGCATTCAGAACTCAAAAGTTCTTTCAGCAACAGGGTCTCTCATGCAGCTTGCCCCAAACCAGAGCTACCTGCAGCAGTGGAACTTACCTTGGGGTGAGTGAGGGCAACTCTGCTGGTGTTCTTCCCTGGCCTAGTAGCTGGCCACAGAGTGCTGCCTGCAGAGAAGGAGTTCTTGGAAATGATTTGGCCATAGGGATTTAGAGTTCAAATGGGTTCCTAGCTTCTCCTAGGCTCTGGCAGCACTTAGGTGTGCCATATCAAGGCTGTTTTCCATGTGGGACTAGAGTCCCATCAGGCTGAGGGCCGGCGGGGCAGGGAGGGTGCCTCCAAGTCCATGGCAGGAGCAAGTGCTGAGTCCTAAGTCCCTGCACTCAACATTTTCCACATCTAGAGACTGTCTCTTTTTCTGATTTGAGCCTGGCAGGGAGGGAGCTTCCTGGCTTCAAAACAGGCTTCCTGTTCTCTTTTCTCCCCGTTCTCTGTGCATCTGCAGTTGTCCTCTGTGGGTTGTGGGGTGCTCCGACTGCTAGGGGTCTGCTTAGGCTCTCTTGCTTGGTTTGTTCCATGAAAGAGAGGTACCAGTTAGCTTGCTTCTAGGTGGCCATCTTGAATACCCTATAGAAGCATACAGTTGCTGGTGGCCAGGATCCCAGCATGCCCTGAGACTCAGAGTGAGGGAAAGAAGTGTGTGCACATGGGGAGTTCATGCAGACAACCCTACATGCTGTGACCACCTTCCTTACCAGTCAAGCACCATGAGGGGAAGTTGACGGCAGAGCTAAACGCTGAGGAGCCACAGATGGAAGCAGAGGTGTGGGGCCCACTTTGTGGGGCACTCTAGGAGAACTCAAGACAAATCAATCACTTTGCATGACTGGTGCTGCTACTTGAACCCATTAGTTTTTGGTAAGTGAAGGCATGATCTTTTTTTTCCTTTTTTTCTTTTTAATAGCAAGTGTTCATCTTCCACGCATTGGACATGCCACAAAAGATTTTAACTGGTATGGTACTGAGCGTCTTATTCGGAAACATTTGGCTTCAAGAGGTATCCCAACTTACATGTATCCTTTTATGGTCTTAAGGGTGTGCTCTCCCAACTCAGGAGGGAAAATGTGTTGCATTTCTGGTGTCGCTGTTTGACCCAAGGCCAAATCCTCTCCTGCCAGTCTTTACTTTGCTCCTCTTCAATGAGACAAAAACTAAGAAGCACTTTCTAACCTGGATATATCCAATATATACACCCCCAGGCATATTGGGATGCCAACTGATAAATTAAAAACTATATGAGAGGACAATTAATTGAATAATTGCCATTTGATAACATATTGAATCTTTTCCCCATCACTTCTCTGGATATCCTTCAGGTCTTTGAACCACAGCTTAATTCTAAGAACTCTGTTCACCAAAATAAACAATTAACTTGAGCAAACAAACAAGTGAATTATTTTATTTCTCATGTATTCTGATGTAGTTTTTAAAGGTATTCTTAAATACCTTAAGGATTTTTTTAAGGTAGTCTTAAAAGGAAGAGTGAAATTTATTTTGACCATTAAGTCATGATTTACTTTAGCTAGACTGGTATTTTCTTCTAATGACTTCCTTGCTGTATAAATTAGCATTGTTTCAAAATTATTAGAAGAAGCTGAATTGACCCCCGGGTGCTGTAATCACACAAAAGCTTCATCTTTTTACTTACTTACTGAAATTAACTTACTTCGTGATGGCCTTCAAGATACTTCAATCACTGTAAAAGATTTAGTAGTGAAGCCATGTTTTATGTGCTTGTACAATTCAAGTAGTATCTGAGAGGTTTTAATACTCTAATAACAATGGCAATAATAATTACTAACAATACTGGAAGTATTTATGCTATGGTGAAAGGGGATTAAAGCATACTTCTTCCAGAGCAGTTATTTCAATAATTACTAAACTAATAGTTTTGGAAAAGTCGATTTTAAAGTAATGAAATATATCTTTCTTGACCATTCTTATCAGATATTACTTTCCTAGAAGCAAGGCTGCTGTTCTTCATTCACAGTCCTCAGCTTCTTCCTCAAGACAGCTGGTGCCTTAACAATTGGCCCAGCATCAGCTCCAGTATTCATCAACCAGCTCCCAAGATATTTGACTCTACTATAATAGAGTATTTCAAAAAAAGAATTAGAATCCGATGGGCCTTGGAGAGAGTCTTTTTTCTGAATTTTAATTCTGTTCTCCTGGATGTGTTACTCGTATTGGTACCTGTAATACAGGGAAGCACACTTATGTGGGAAAGCCCCAGTTTGCATAGTATTTTGCATAATAATAAATTTTCTATCTCTAATAGTTCTCTTGCTTTATTTCTCTCCTTCACCAGACTGATTTCTTCACCAGACAGAGGGAAAGGCTGTATGCATTAAGGAGATATGAATAGTAATAGAATAGGATGGCTCCAGGAGAAGAAAGCACCTTTAGCCAATTCATACCTTCAAAAAATGGGACCCAGGGGTAGAGACTGAGAAGTGAGCGTCTTGATCTAGACAAATGAAGCATCTCTTGCCCTTTTTGTACTATCAACATCAAGATCTGGAAGAGAACACATTAGCCTAAAGGCTTATCAAATGTGACTTCAGAAAAACCAGAGAATCTCCTTCCTTCTATGCACCAAAACCAGGTCAGCTTCAAAAATAAGGAAGTTGTGAAAACGGTGCAAAGCCAGCACAGAATGACCTTATTAGGGAGGATGGAGACGGAGAACCACCAGTGGAGGAATTATGGGGGGAAAACTATATGCGTTGTGGCGTTTCACACCTTTTCGTGTGGTGTCAGTCTTGGTTGACTATCCTCAGCCAACCTGATTTCTGCTGCTTTGCGCTCCTCAGCACCCAGAGTGCTGCAGAGGCCACTTGAAAAGCCCTGGGCCTTGATGCATGGAACCCTGGTTATTGGGCTCAGAGCCAGGACCATAACCTTCTAGGGAAGGTGGTACCTTTAGCACTGGAGTTTTACTGTTTTCCCTACACTTTCATCCTTCAATATAGCATCTATGCCAAAGACCTATTAGACCCTATATTTATGATTCTTTAATTTTTTTCTCCTAAAACTTCTTACGTTGATTTTAACTGTCTTCTATCAAGAACTCTTCCCACCTGCCCTTAACATGTAGGTATTATAATAATTTAACCTCTTGACTTGCATCTTAAGACTCTCATACAACTGGAAGCAGAATTGGAACTCCAAAAAGAGAGAATGTAGTGAAACCTAACCTAATGCACAGGTAAGTTGCCATGCCTTTTAGAAGCAGCCAGAGTGTAAACAGGTGGGATATTAGCAAATGCAGTAAAAACTTGAGTGTGCACTGTGCAAAAACTGTAGGCCTCCTGGAAAGCTGTGCTCATTTCTGAGTGCATGGGGCTACATGGGGATGCTTCTTAGCATCTGAGAGAGGCATCACAGCAGGGAACTCACTCCTAAAGAGAACACAGCTGATCTTTCAGGAGCACAGTGAGCTTTTATGTAGAGTGGCCTCTTTTTCCCCCTACACTATCTGCCATGCTGCAGCCATATAGGCTTTTTCTAAGGATCCATCCCCTGGCCCATGAACCTTTCTGCCTGGTAAGCTGGGCAATAACAACAAGGGAAGATCAGAAAATCCACGTAACGTATTCTTCCTAAATGTTGGGTTACCTCTCTGAGGCAGCCCCCTGTTTTGCCAACCCACCTTTCTTAAGTCTTCAGAGTCAAAAATACTGCCCTACTTCATCTCTAGAAATCTGTCCTATTTTTTATTACCCCTTCACTCTTCCTGAAGATGTATCATTCTCTGGGAAGGAAGAATGAGAGAAGCTACCTACTTTATGTACCCCAAGGGTTTGATCTTTGTTATACAACATATCTTTGATACGATCTAGCCCTCCCCTCTGAGGATGAGGCCAAGAAGACAATAATATTTTACTCACTGATGAGCTTTTGTGGGCTACTCTGTGCCTTAAACATCAGAATAAAAATCTCACTTATTAAGAAAATGAGGAACTTACGTCTATTGAAATTTTTTATATGTATAGTCTTATATTTTCTAGACTTTTAATAGTTTCTTTCACCATGTAATAAGCCTACAACTTTTTATTTTTTGCCCCATCAATCTAAACTATATTCTATTAAGTTAATAAACCATCTTCTTTTTTTTTTTTGAGTCTCACTCTGTCACCCAGACTGGTGTGCAGTGGCCGCTTCCAGCCACCGCAACCTCGACCTGCTGGGCTCCGGCAATCCTTCCACCTCAGCCTTCCAAGTAGCCATAATTACAGGCATGTGCTACCACACCTGGCTGATTTTTTTATTTATTGTAGAAATGAGGTCTCGCTGCCTGGGCTGGTCTCAAACCCTCAGCTCAGGCAATCCACTCACCTCAGCCTCTCAAAGGCACGGGATTACAGGCTGAGCCACCGAGCCCGGCTATAAACCATCTTTAAATATAGCTTGAATCAGCCATTTCGAGCCCTAAGCTATCTCTAGACAATGTGTTGTCTGTGTTTTGCTGTCTGCTAACTAAAGTACAGTCAATCCATAGTATCCATGGGAGATTGGTTCCAGGACCTCCCATGGATATCAAAGTCTTGGGATGTTCAACTCTCTGATATAAAATGACATAGTATTTGCATATAATCTGTGTAGATGCTGCCATATACTTTAAATTCTCTAGATTACTTACAATACCGAATACAGTGTAAATGTTATGTAAATAGTTGTTATACTGTATTGTTTAGGAAGTAATGGCAAGAAAAAGTCTATACATGTTCAATACAGATACATTTTTTTTCTGAATATTCTTGATCTGCATTTGGTTGAATCCATGGATGCAGAACCCACAGATACAGAGGGCTGACTGTATAAACTCACTCAAGTATTACTTATCTTCCACAGTAATCTACCTTCTTATTTCCCAGGACATCTGCAGGTTCTCAGTTGGGCCTTTGCTCATGCTGGTGCCTCTTCCTTGACTGCTTTACTCCTCTAGACCTCTTCCTCAGCTGCTAGCCCCTATTAAATCTAGTCTTTAAGAACCCAGTTATGTACCTAACCCTGAATTGTACCCCACATCTTTAAAATAAAAAAATTTAAAGATTTTTTTAAAAATCCAGAAAAAGGCATTTCCTACATTCTCACAAAAATGTAATCTCTCAGTGCTACCTACCAATGACAGTTGGGTTATGACACTTAATTTGTTGTGCCTCTTATTATACTCATGGGTATATTTACTTAATCCTTGTCTAGATACTAAGGTCTTTGAGAAAGATTATTTCTCCTTTATTTTTCATATCACACAAAGCAAATAGCAGAAATTCAAATATTTGTTGAATTGAAATGGAGTGGGAATAACTGGATATCACTTTGGGAAAAGCATTAGATTTACACCATTTATCACAAACTCTAGATGACTTAGGTATTTAAACATAAAACTTGAGAATACAGAAACTTGTCATTTTTGTGGTATTTGACTACCAGTTGCCCTTTGAAGTTTCTCCCAGCTTATCATTAAAATACCAGTGGCATCAAGATGAAGATACAACCACACTGAAAATAGATGATCAACCAGCTAAATGCCAGGATATGACAGGAAGTGACACTGGTTCTAAGGTGAAGTTGAACTGAAATTTTGTCTTAGGAAGCAGAGATTGCTTAAAAACTAGGAAACTTCACCAGCCATTAAATAAGCAGCCTCTATTCCCTGAAGTTCTACTTTGAAGGATGTTTCACACCTGAGTCAAATCTCTCCCATTAAATAATGAGAACAAACAAAAAAACTACCTCAATTCCTTATTTCCTTTCCGGTCCCAGCCAAACCTCAGAAGAGTTGTCCATATCCACTGTTTTCCTTTACTTCACCTTTCACTTAATCCTTAACCCTACCATTTTTACTTTCTGAACTATCACTGCCCCAAGAGGGTCCATGTTAAGAATACCCATGCTATTCAAGTCACTGTATCCAGACATTTTTTTAGGTCTCACCTTGACCTCTCAGCAGAATTCAGCAGTATTGACTGCTTCCCACTCTTCCCTTGGCTTGAAGACACTCTTGCCTTGGCATCTGTGACAAGATACTCTCCCATGAAAAAAATCTCTAGGAACTTACCTTTAAATTGTGTATTACCTTTACACAATTTTCCCCCCCCCAATCTTTTTACCTAGTGTATTAGTTTGCTTGGGCTATCATAATAAAATGTCTTAAAATCGGTAGTTTAACAGAAATTTATTTCCTCACAGTTCTAGAGGCTAAAGTCCAAATATCAATAGGTTTGATTTCCTTTGAGCCCTCTTTTTTTGGTTTACGGATGACCACACTCTTGTTACCTTTTCATATGTTCTTTTTTCTGGCTCTCTGTGTGTCCAAATTTCCTCTTATAGAATGCCAGTCCGATTGGATTAGTGGCTACTTAAGGACCTCATTTTATCTTAATCACCACTTTAAAGCCCCGTCTCCAAATATAGTCACATCTGAGTTACTGGGGGTTGAGACTTTGACATAGGAAGTTTGGGGGACCCAATTCAGTCCATTATACCAGCAATTAATTATTGGAGTTCCTCAAGGCTCATTCCCAGGTCCTTCTCATTCTGAACTCAACAAGATCCTAGCAAACTGGATTCAGTAATACATCTCAAAAATCATCCACCATGACCACCATGACCAAGTAGGCTTCATTCCTGGGGTCATCATCCACCATGACCAAGTAGGCTTCATTCCTGGGATGCAAGCCTGGTTCAACATTCGTAAAACCATAAATGTAATTAAATTCATCAACAGATGTCAAAACAAAAACCACATGGTCATATCATTAGATGCAGAGAAAGCTTTTGATAAAATCCAGCACCCCTTCTTGATAAAAACCCTTGAACATCTAGGCATATGGGGAACATACCTCAAAATAGTAAAAGCCATCTACAAGAAACCCACAGCCAGCATACTCCTAAATAGACAATAATTGGAACCAATTCCCCTGAAAACTGGAACTAGACAAAGATGCCCACTCTCACTCCTCCTGTTCAACATAGTATTGGAAGTCCTGGCTAGAGCAATCAGAGAAGAGGAGGCAATCAGGGGTATCCAAATAGGAAAAGAGGAAGTCAAGTTATCTCTCTTTGCAGATGATATGATTGTGTACCTTGAAAACCCAAGAGAATCTGTCAAAAGG